TCACATGGGTCTTTTTTTTTATCATCGAATTGTTCCATGTGTGACTTCTGAGGCAGCACTTTAGTTAAATTCTCTAGGGTCAAAATCCCTAAGGTTGATGGAATATATGAAGGCACCCTTTGGAGCTAGGATTCAGCTTTTCATCTTCTTTTTCATTCTGTCATCATTGAGTTTATTTTGAAGAAATTAAGCAGAAAAAGACTTTTTTCCCCCTGAGGGAGTCTATTAATCTTTATAAAGAAATTTTAATTATTGCTTTTTCTATTTCTATGAGAAATGCCATTGGGATTTTGATTGAAATTGCATTAAATCTGTTTAGTGCTTTTGGAAGTATGGTMATTTGGATAATATTAACTCTGCCTAAAGAGCAAGGTAGATCTTTCCATCTTCTGAGGTCTTCTTTAATTTATTTCTTTAGGGTTCTGTAAATTTCACTGTATACATCTTTCACATCTTTTAAGTTGATTCCCAAGTTTTGTTTTCCTTTTTTTGAGGCTATTGTAAATGGGGTAGTTTTCCTCATTTCCCTCTCAGAGATTTGTCACTGATACAGAGAAATGCTTTTGATTTATGGGTGTTGATTTTATAACCTGCTACTTTACTGAATCCATTTACTAGTTATAGATGTTTTCTGGTGGAGCTTTTTGGGTCTTCTAGGTATAGAATAAGAGACCCAGAGAAGCTAAAATAATACTTAGCAGGAAAAGTGAAGCAAGTGGCATCACTATACCAGAACTTAAAATATAATGCAGAGCAATAGTAACAAAAACAGCATAGCATTGACATCAAAACAGACTGTAGGCCAATTGTACAGAATAGAGGACACAGAGACTAACCCATAAAATTACAATTATCTTATATTAGACAAACGTGCCAAAAACATGCATTGGAGAAAAGATAGCCTCTTAAATGGTGCTAGGAAAACTGGAAATCCATATGCAATGAGATGAAATTCAACCCCTATCTTTTACCATGCATAAAACTAAACTCAAAATGGATCAAGGACTTAGGAACACATCCAGAGACTCTGTACCTAAGAGAAGAAAAAGTAGGCCCTAATCTCCATCATGTGGGATTAGGCCCCAACTTCTTTAATAAGACTCCTATAGCACAAGAATTAAAACCAAGAATCAGTAAATGGGATGGACTCAAACTAAAAAGTTTCTTCTCAGCAAAGGAAACAATCTGTGAGGTGAATAGAGAGACTACATCTTGGGAGAAAATTTTTACCCCTCACACATCAGATAGAGCACTAATCTCTAGGGTATATAATGAACTCAAAAAGCTCAACACTAAAAAAAAAAAAAAAGAAAAAAGAAAACAAAAACAAATAAATAACCCAATCAATAAATGGGCCAAGGACATGAACAGACACTTCTCAGAAGAGGATATTCAATCAATCAACAAATATATGAAAAAATGTTTATCATGTCTAGCAATTAGAGAAATGCAAATCAAAACTACTCTAAGATGTCCTGTCAGGCAGGACACATCAACGTGGGCAGCGAACCTAGATGGGGAGGAATGAAGGGACAAGAGACACGAAAGGTGACAGCAAGACAAAAGTTCTGATCAAGCTGCAAACTTTTATTGTTCACACAGGGGTATTTATATGCTGGGGATGGGGAAGCTCTCTAATCAGCAATTGCTGGATGTGGGTGGGTATTCATATGCTGGGGATGGGGAAGGTCTCTAATCAGCAATTGCTGGATGTGGGTGGTAAAACTGCCAGCTGCAGGATGTTCCAGGGAGATAGATAGCTGTAGGATGCCTCCCAGGCAGGATGTCTCCCAGGGGGCTGTCAGGCTAATCTTTGAAGGAGAATGTCCTTCTAGTCCCTGACACTAAGATACTATCTCACACCAGTCAGAATGGCAGCTATTATGAAGACAAACAAGAATATTGGTGCAAATTGGTGCAGCCAATATGGAAAACAGTATGGAGATTCCTTGGAAAACTTGAAATGGAACCACCATTTGACCCAGATATCTCTCTCCTAGATTTATACCCAAAGGACTTAAAAATAACATAATACAGGGACACAGCCACATCAATGTTTATAGCAGCACAATTCACAATAGCTAAACTGTGGAACTAACCTAAATACCCTTCAGTATATGAATAGATTAAAAAATATGGAATATATATACAATGGAATATTTACTCAGCAATAAAGAGAATAAAATCATGGCATTTGCAGATAAATGGATGCAGTTGGAGAAGATAATGCTAAGTGAAGTTAAACAATTCCCCCCAAAAATAATGGTGAATGTTTTCTCTGATATAAGGTAACTGACTCTTATTTGGGTAAGGAGTGGGAGCATGAGAGAAATTGAAGAACTCAAATGGGGCAGAGGGGTGGGAGAGGGAGGGAGGGGGCAGGGAGTTAGCAATGATGGAGGAATGTGATGAACATCATTATCCAAAGTACATGTATGAAGACATGAATTGGTGTGAACATACTTTATATGCAAACAGATATATGAAAAATTGTTCTATATGTGTAACAAGAATTGTGATGCATTCTACAGTCATGCAATTAAAATATAAAACCAACAAAAAAGTTGTTTTAATAAATGATTCAGTCAAATTCTTCTGCATTGAGGTGCGTTTATTCAATTCTTCCTTTATTTTACTTTAGAAGGAAAAGACTGTGTTCCTATAATCTTTGCAAGAGGCAAACTCAGGTGCAAATCCAGCTGCCATTTTAACCACACAATACTGCTGGCTATAAATATTTGTTTCCTTTTCTTTTACTCTATTTACTCTAATTGACTGGACTACATTGCCAGAAAATATATATTGAATTTTTTGAAATTATATACATTATTCTTCAGATAAATCTCAGAGGAAATATTTTAGAGGACAAGGCTGATATATCATAATTTGGTGGTTTAAAATTCTTAATACAGCAATGAGTACATGGCAAACACATAACAAATAAGCTGTCTTAAAAGAAGAAAAGAATTTTTAGTCTGCACCTTGAGCCTCAGTCTGTTGAATATTGTGATGGTTTCTAGGTTATATGGCAGACTGTGAACCTTGGCCTGAAGCCTTGAGCCCATAAGTACTGATACAGAATGTAGGAGGTGAGTCAAACCTGCGCACATGGAACAGATGTGAGGATAGGAGTCAGCTGAATATATAAATATCAGGATATATTTGTCTTTGATGGAAATGATTTTGCTTTCAACCTTGGGCCACTCAGAATATGTGAAAAGAAATTTAAAGAAAGAATACAGATTTTGTAAAACATTTGAAAAAGTTTAAGAGTGTGTTTAGTTATGGAATTTAGACTCATTGAGCTTTGTGCTAGATTAAAAACAGGAAATAATTAATGGAATAGGAGATCAGATTATGGATATTGGATCAAAGGCAATCTAAAAGAGCAGTTGATGAAGGAAATCTGTGAGAATATGCAACAGGATGTTCTTATTAAGAAACATAAGCTGTGTGTGTTGTCTTGAATAAGAAGATGGTAGTCCTGCAGAAAATTAAAGCACATATAATGTCAGCTCATAAGGCATGCAACTTAAAGTGTTCCATGTGCAATACTCTTCCCTCCATGATTATTTATATTTTAGGTTTCAGAAAGGATTTATATAATATAGTTCTGAGAATAATTGGATTAAAATCTAGAAAACTATAGTTGAAGCAATTTGAAGAATCACAATACATATAAAATAACATAATAATCCTTTTTCTCCATAACTTTCCTTGCTTCATATTTATTTAGCATGCTTAGATCCCATGGTCTTTTACCATACCTACTTGTTTTGTAGGACTCAAAATGCATCTCAGACTGCTGTGTGTTTACTCTGTAGTACTAATTTAATGGGCAATTTTAACTTTGTTAGTAATATTACAAGGTTTTACACAAATACATTTATAGTATATACTACAGTGTAGAGTTTATTCACTTACACATCCATGTACCTACATATTCAATACAGTAGATGGGGTAGAGAGAGAAGATGGGAGGGGAAGGGAGGGGGGATAGTAGAGGATAGGAAAGGTAGCAGAATACAACAGTTACTAATAGGGCATTATGTAAAATTGTGGATGTGTAACCGATGTGATTCAGAACATTTTATATCAACCCACATTAATCAGCATAGAATGCTATAACTGTCTTCAATATTTGCCAATTTGCCTGTTAAAAATACTTCATTGTCTTTAAATTGCATTTGTTTTGTGAATTATGAAATGGAAGATTACCCTTTGTGCAATGATAAATGAATATTTGAATTTGTTAAGAAACAATTTCTATAACAACTGTTGCCTCATTATTATAAGCATTTTCAATGTGTTCCATATTTTTCTGTGGCAAAATGCATCATTTTTTTTCCCTGTGACTTATACCATTGTTTTCACYTAAATGCTCTTTCTAATCAGATATTAGATATATGTTGATCTCTTTCTTTTTCTGTTCTGTACAGATCTTTGGTTTACCTGAAATTTTACTATATGCTATTTTTTTCCACTTTTTGGTGGCAGCATTGAGAAAAATCTGATTGTGAAAATGCCTATCTAGTTATTGAAAACCTTTTATGAACTGTGCATTATAATCTTCTAAATACTCTTGAAAGGTAAGGTTCCTTTGTAATTTAACCCTACTTATTTTTTATTGAGTTTATGTATGTCCATACCTTTAGTTTATATTCTAAAAATACCAAAAACTTTTAAATTCATCAAATCTTCTTTTTGCTTAGTGTACTTATGTCTATAGTGAACACTTTGTGTGTGTGTGTGTGTGTGTGTGTGTGTGTGAATATAGTTGGTGTTTTTTTTCATTTTTTGGTTATTTAATTTATGTTCTCTCAAATTTGTAACAAATATTTCCAGAATAATAAAAATGCTGTGTGTTTTCAAATGTGCATTCTTCTATCAATAATCATACTTGTCATATTATACCAAGTATTTTTAAAATGTCTCTTTTCTTCTTCTTCTTCTTTTATTTTTATTTTTTTTTAAATTGTATTTATTTATTTACCGCCTAAATGATACTTGTCTTATTTGCTGCAAAGGAAACTATCTCCTTTAGTGGGTGCATGACTCAGCTCTTTGCAGAACATTTCTTTGGGGGAGATGAAATCAACCTGCTTACAGTGATGGCCTATGACCGCTACATGGCCATCTGCAAGCCCCTGCATTATATGATCACAATGAACAGGTGTGTTTGTGGCCTCCTGGTGTCTGTGGCCTGGGCTGGAGGATTTCTTCATGGTCTGATTAAAGCTCTTTTCATGGTCTGTTTGCCCTTTTGTGACCCAAATGTCATTGATCATTTCAACTGTGACCTTTTTCCCCTCCTGAAACTCTCCTGCAAAGACTCTCACATCTTTGGCTCTTGGTGGCTGCCAACACTGGGCTGCTCTCCTTATTTTTGCTTTTCCTATCATCTCCCACATTCTCATCCTTTGTTCCCTAAAGACTTGCAGCCAGGAAGAACAGAGGAAGGCTCTCTCCACCTGTGCCTCCCACATTGCTGTAGTCATCCTCTTCTTTGTATCCTATTTGTGTGCTTTCAGCTCATGGTCACCTTTCCCATTGACAAAGTTGTGGCTGTGTTTTATACTATGTTGAAACTCTAGGTGGTTCCATTTACCTTTAATCTATACCCTCAGAAACACAGAGGTGAAAAATTCCATGATGATGCTCTGAGGCCAAAGAATCATCTTGGAGAATGATTCAAATGAATAGGGAATATAAAAACAAAATCTACTCACATTTAACATCAAAGATGAGTATTTGATTAAATGATTACTAAGGTGTTTCCTGTTAGAAACACCCTGAAATTTACAAATTAGTCAGCAAAGGAAAGTGCATTGCTAAGTAGCATAAAAAATGTTTTCACATAAATTCTATTAATTTATGTACCTAATATGGCAATTTTGAGCAAAATTTGGGTACCCTATATAAACCAATAGGCCAAGTAATTACAATATTTTAAAAAATGGACCTAACTTTAAAAATTGTGTTGAAAAAAGTATAATTTTAATTATAACTACTGAAATCCAGGTTATCACTATGAAAGATGGAGGATAAACAGAAATGAATTGGTTTTGAGGAATATGAGTCACTGAGGCAGGATTCACCCAGGAATTAAGACTGCTATGCTGCACAATTCCAGGTGGTTTCATTTACCTTAAAATATTGATCTTTCCAGAATAAACTATTGTCTATGTTGAAAGTCATGAAGGGGTATAAAATTCTTCCAATTATAATCATAAAGAAATTTTGGACGTCATTTCTCAAATAGAAGATATTTCATGAGGAGCTTTCCTACACACCATGTCACCTCTTAAAAACTTCTTTGGGTTGTACTTGTACCTTGGCTAAGAAGGACAAAGACAGGTGACACACAAGAAAATGATGATATCTGAGTAATCAAGGAAGACACTCAGCACATTCAAATTTGAGTAGAGAATTACAGACAAACAGTATGAAAGTAATTTCAGTTGTCCACAAATATAATTTTAAGAAAAGGAGCCCAGATTTATAAAGAAAGAAGAAAAATATTTAGGTCTAGTTCAGGACACAAGTCTTGAAAATCTTCTCAACACCACTTCTATTGTTATAAAAAATAAAGCCTAAAAAATCCTTGGCCATCCAACATCTTTTGTTAAATATATATTATTCTCTCTCTCTCTCTCTCTCTCTCTCT